CACTCACTCACTCACTCACTCACTCACTCACTCACTCACTCACTCACTCACTCACTCACTCACTCACTCACTCACTCACTCATTCACTCATTCACTCAGTTATTTTAGTAGAAAATTTATTAAGGCGGCTTATTTACTTAAGACAGTGAGGCAGCCATGCTACAGTGTATTTCCATTTCACAAGGGCTTTGAACAATTTTTGACATTGATTTTTGTTTTTCTCGGTAAAAGCGTGTGCTGAAATTATCCTTGCATGTATTTGGTAGTCATCTTTTACATGGCTTTTGTTGTCTTCTAGTTCTTGATTGAAGTAAGGAATACAAATTTGAAGATGGTGCCCAGCGACTGGAGCAAAATTAGCGCGTAAGTTCCAAGAACTGTTTCTGCTGCATTGAATCTTTGTTGACACCTATTGGAATTTTTTTTTTTTTTTTTTTTTTCATTTCACGACAATCGCAAAACTCAACCAATTAGAAACGCGAACGATGAAATTTCATCAGTGAAAAAGCAGCGTTCGCCCAGTCAGCAAAGGGAATGATGAATTTTAACAAACGATTAAAAAATTTACATAGTTCCAGTGACCGCCATTGCAGCAAAATTGCAGGCTTTGAAGAAATTTCGGAAGACAGATAACTTGTGCTCTACGGAAGAGTTTTTCCTCGCCACCAAAGCTCCTTATCCTAACTCTCCTCGCCAACAGTCATACATTTCCTTAAGAGAATGTGGTGTTACATCAAAACAATATCTCCTGGTTGATATTTTTGTTAATTCTCATTACCTGTCTGATTGGCAATGTATTAAAATTGTAAGATGAATTAAAATTTTGGTCACTTTTGTTGATGTTTGTTTTGTTATCCTCCAGGACCAAACAGGTTTCAAGATTCAGGACGCCTTTTGTGGAGGACAAGTTCAAACTTCTCTGTCAGTGGCGTGAACAGCTCTCAATCGCATGTCAGGAGGCGTGGCTGGAATTCCTGGCGCTGTTCTCAGAAGGGTGTTCCAGATATCGCAAGGCTGTACATCACATCGCTACACTCGACTGTTTGTTTTCCTTGGCTGCTGTAGCCAAGCAAACGGGTTTCACAAGGTATAACTTGTTAAGTTTTCGTCAACAATGAATAGACCGAATATATTTTCATTAATAGACAATAATAATAATGACGACGACGACGACGACGACGACGAAAATAATAAAACAAGAATCAATAAAATTATTCCATAAAGGCTCCGGCCGAGATCTCAACCTATAAAAGCTTAAGCAATGGGTAGACGACTTTGGTTTTGTTTGAAATAATTTCTTACTCTGTGAGGGAGTTGTTGAAAAATGCTTGAACATTTGGTCCAAATTTGGCCTCACAGGACACCCGTGGGGCTGATATCCAGAACTCGGGTGGAAAACGATCAGTGAAGCTGAAACTTTGGGATTTTACATAAGTCTCCATAAGGACTTCGTGCGTAGATTTTTAGGAAAATCGGCCAACCCTCATTTCCAAGTTTGGCCCGGTCTCTCAGGCAGAAGCTTTTAAGTGCTTGAAAGAAACGAAACGTGAAAATCATCAGTACAGTGGTAAACATGGCGTGGCAGTTACTGGATAAGAAAAGAGAATGTAAATGCCTTTATTGTGTCTCCTACAGGCCTGTTGTGAAGGACTGTGAAGCCCACATTTACATCAAACAAGGACGGCATCCTGTTTTGGACTCCTGTCTGCAAGAGAATAAACAATATGTACCAAATGATACGCGCATGAATGTGAGTGAATCACGTGACTGTTTTGTCCTTGTTTGTATCTACTGTAGTATAATTGAATGTTACAAGGTTGCCACAGTTCAGAGAATGGTTAGGGGGGGGGG